AAGCAATAACAATAATTTAAACACTGAAAAGTAATTCTAACCTTACAGAACGCAAAAACAACAAGTTAAACAAAAAAACAGAGCAATTTAACATCTAACAGCTTCGCAAAAACCAGAATTTTAGCGGCAGATAATTAAAACGAACGTTAGAGATTTAAAACTACTCATCAAGTGACGTCATGTGACGTATTTTAGCTCCGCCCACCATGCGCACCATCCTATCTTATGTTGTATGTATCTTGCATTAACATTAACTTTAACATTAAGAGATGGCCTACTTTTATCTTCTTAATGATAATGTTAATTTTTATTCTTCTTGCGCAGGTTGCGGCGCAATTTTTAAATAAACCGTGTCAGTAATGCCAACATACACGAAAATAAAATGAAACTTACTGCTGAATGATTCATTTTTTGTTCAATGCCCTGATAGCACAGTTTATTCTTAGATATAGAATGTTTTTTAAACCTTCCAGTTTGAATATTCTCAGGATCATGCTATATTTCTTCTAGTCATGTTCTAAGAATATTTTTTAAACCTTCCAGTGAAAATATTCTCAGGATCATGCTATATTTCTTCTAGTCATGTTCTAAGAATGTTTTTTAAACCTTCCAGTGAGAATATTCTTAGGATCATGCTATATTTCTTCTAAAGAACACGCTTAAAAGAAATATAGCATAATCCTAAGAATATTCTCACTGGCCCATAGGCAGGTTCTTAGAAGGTGCAAAGTTTAGTGGTAAAAATTAATCCACTCTAAACATATGCTTAGAATGTTGAGAAAGTAATTGCTATAGAAAGTTCATTTAGGAATATTCCTGGAACATTCTGTTAAGCATATTCAGTTCAGTTAGGTACCTATATAATAGTAAAATATACCATAATCTACCTATACTTACTTACGTATTAAATACTAACTAAAAAACACAACCCAAAATATTTTTTTATTGTATATTTGTCAAATTAGAACAATATTTGATAACAAAAATACTTTTACTATAGGTATCTAAATTATCCGGCTTTTACATAAAATCTTCTATCCAACTATTTGGTTTTTTCTTTTATGAAGAATTATTTTATAAGGAAATATTTTGTTTTTTTTATATTTTATTTTATGTTAAAAATAAATATTTATTAATTTGTATACCGATTTTTTATTTCTAAATTAACATTTTTATGTATAATAATCCTAACTATCTTCAACTTCAATCTAATCTGACTTATCCCACAAAATTTTCCAATTTTACTTTTTATGAAATAATGTCATACAACTTATGGTTTAGAGGTCAAATTGTTTATTTAATATTTTTAAATAAATATATATTAATATGTCGCAAAATTTTTTAAGGGGACGAAAAATACATTTCACTGTCATAGTGAGGCGTATTTGTCGCCTGCTGAAGAATTTTACGAATGTAGAATCTAACATATTAGAACGTGGGTATCTGACATATTTGGAAATATTCTGAAAAGCTTCCTAGAACCTCCATAAGAAACCTTCTAAGAACATTCCAAAAACGTATTCTTAAAATGTTTTTAGAATGCTTTTTAGGAAGGTTTTAAGAAGCTTCTAAGAATCTAATTGCATCATTAAAAGGGTATCTATTGAATGTTTTAAAAGTCCCTAAGAACATTTTTAGCAATAAGGGAAGGTTCTAAGAATATTCCAAGGGATGTTAAAACAAAATTCAAACAAATCAAAAATGTTAGATGTCAAAATTACTTTAATCTATACCCATGCAGCGTGAGGCACGCTCAATTTGCCACTAATTTTGCTGCATAAAAAACCCCCCTTAAATTAGCTTAGGGGAAGGTGGGGGAATTTTGCGCGGTGGGTAATTTTACGCTAGTGACCATGGTCACTGTGATACATGTACGTTGATCTAAGAAATCCATGTCGTTTCCGCTACGAGTTAAGTTTAAATTTCTGTCCAAAAACAAAAACATTTTTTTTTTATAAATTGCGCATTATATACACATAGTAAACATAGTAGACTATCGCTGGTATTAATTGCAAAATTTCACATTTAAACTTAACAAAGATACTAGAGATTTTGCTTAGATGCGCAGAATTCCCCCACCTTCCCCTAACGTTAATGTGTGCTGCATAAATTAATCCAGCATAATATAGGCACCTATTTAAAAATCAGTAGGATGCTGTCAATAAAGGGCAACTCATTTATCGCCGCGTAGTGCTTATTGCCGGTCGAAAAGGTATTCGAGGAATTTGCAGACTTTCGACGCCAGAATTCAATAAAAGCTCATCTCAGCTGCGAGAAATGAAATACCCATATACTTTGCCTGCTGCTAACTGCAATGAATACGCCAAAGTATTCCGGTAATAAGAAATTTCTCTCTCTATGCGACCCACTTGATGGAGTTTTCATTAAATTTAACGCTATGCCAGCGAAGACCCTTCCGTGCATGAAAGTATGCATATTTTGTTTATTCATTTTGAGGATCTTTTATGAATGTATTGTAGTACTGTATTTGTATCCAGGCGTTTCCCAGAACGGTAAACAATCTGTCAAAGAGTTCTTTTTGAACTCTTTATAAACCAGAATAATTTCACGGATTTTTTCTTTAACTGTAAAAAATAAGTTTGTAAAAGAAAAAAATACTATTTTATTTTATTTAAGGAGGTTGGGGTATGACGCGCCGTTTGCGCCATAATTATGTAAATAATTTGTAAAAATTTATATATTTTAACTTATTTTCTAAGATATATATTAGTTTAATTAAAATATGATATAAAAAAATATTAGAGTTGATTTGTAAGTGTAAAAGTTACACTACAAAATACACTAGGTATCATTTAGGGCTTATTAACTTTATTAAACACATTTAAAGAATATAAACATGATTCATTGGTACATTCACACTATTTATTATTAAAATAAATCAAAAGGGTAGAAAAACTTAATGCGAGTGTTTATTACCCCTTAATGTGTTAAATAGTGACAAAATGTACACTACAGTGCATGCCATTTTCTTTGTCTGTTTTGATGTTACTAAGAGCTCTTTTTTCTTTACACTACTAGTGCACATTGTTTCACAATTAAAGTTAAATTACACCAATAGTGGCAAAATAGACTGAAAAAACTGGTAATAACCGAAATTCGTTTTAAAATGTTTGGTTGGTACCTATCTACCTATAGATACGCAGTGTATATCCGGAGATACCACGTTGTAAAAGTGTGGCATTTTTGTTCAGTTAGATTTTAATTACGGTGAATAAAAGGACATTCTTATTTTTTGGTAAGTATTATACTTCCTTTTTTTAAGCCTTAATACTCAATAAATACCAATATTTTAAAAGGATGTCCATACCCGACCTATATTATATATCAATAATTTTCGGCAGTAGGTCGGGTACTTGTAACATTAATGATATAAATATATATTCACTTGATTTACTTTTTATTTTTAAGCGTAATGCTATACCTACATTTTTATTAATATTATGGAAAATTTGTACACGTGTGGTAAATCCCCGACATACAGCCGCCTGACGCCTCTCTACCAATGGGATCACCCATTTTTTATAACAGAAAAATGGATTACTGATGAATTCTCAAGATAATTATTAATTCATTGTTTACAAGTTGACAGCCAGCTTTTATCTAAAACTTTTACGTTTTAAGGAACCATTTTGATTAAGCCAGCCATACGACTCAAATATAAAATTATATTTTAAAAGGCAACGATTTTGATAATTGTCATAGATTTTTGTTTCAAATAAATGTTTTCCTTAATTTACCTTTTCGTTTTATTCACTACCACCAATAGGTTTTACTCAAATAATAGTGTTAATTTACACTAGTTTGCACTAAAAGAGTAAAAGTACCTTTCTAAAATTAGAACTTTTAATTTACACTGAACAAAAGTGCGATTTTACCCAGGAAGTGTAGAAGTACACGATTTTAGGTAAATTAACACTTTTTAATACAGTGTAAAATTACTTTATCCTCAGTGCTATAGTGTTAAATTATACTTGCTTACTTAGGGAAAATTACACTACAAATTAACTCTAATTGTAGTGTTATAAAACAACACTATTTAGTGTGAACCTGTGTGAACTCCAATTAGTGTTGCTTAGAGTTGATTTTTTTACTGTGTGTATAGAAATATCACTTATATTTCACGCTTGTCTCCTATACTGCACACATAATTTCTTAATGTCCTATATTGCAAAATATTGTTCTATATGTCCTATAAATATATCTTAAAGTTTAGATTTGTAGAATTGTAGGTACACATTAAAAAAGCTTCACACTAGGCTTCACTAGAGTTTTAACTCTAGTACTCTTGTAGTGTAACACATTTAACACAGTTCGTGCGGCTTCATACACTATTTCATTGAAAATTACTACACTAACCGTGTTCGGTAGCTCTCAAAAAATGTTCACTTTGACACTAATTTATTTGCATTTATTTCACTTTTAGTGTGAATACTATTCCTAATAGTACTGGAAATTTAATCTATCTAGTGTTTATCCTAACACTAATAGATTGTATATTGTGTAAGATTGGTGTCTGCAGTGCGCCCTTAAAGTTACATACATAAAATTTATTTAATGTTGATAAAAATGGTATAATATATAATATAATATTAGTAGGTACATTAAAGACCATAATAATAATGGACAAAACTGTATCTAGTTTTAATCTTAAGCCATATGCAAACACTGGAAACCTTCTTTTTCAAATTGCAAATACTCTTTCTATTATATTTCTGGTTCTTAGTAGTGACTCTTTATAGAGTTGCTGACCTCTATACCTATAACTAGTTATTGGATTTGCTAAAGATTTCAATAAATAATATCTTTGGAAAAAAGATCTTGAATTCCGATGACTAGTACTTTTGAGGTTATACATCGTTAACGGTGGATTAAAGTAATTTTAAGATATTTTAACAGTAGTTTAGAGGTATTTAAACAAGGTTAATTTACGGTGCAAGCCAGTTATGAAAAATAAACCTTTGTTAAAAATAAAACCACTGTTAAACTTACCAAATTTTATTTTATTTTATTAAAAATATATTTATGAAAATTGTAGAATATAATTTCAGTTCTCGTTCAGTTTTTTCAAACCAAAATGCAGACCGCCCTTTATTTTCAGGTTCATTTCATTTTTCAATAATTCAGCAGGTAATTTGGTATTTCTTGTTGTTACTATCTCAAAATTGGTCATCAAATGGTAAAAAAAAACTTTGGTATCTACGAGCGCGTATCTGGAACCAATGCAGTTCCTGGGACCAACACCGAAGGGTAAATAAGTGTTGGGTTGAATTTTGTGCTTGTTTTCCTCGTTGAACCTTTCCGGGTCGAATTTTGTCGGGTTTGGCCAGTACTTTGGGTCCATTTGTATGCCACCTACTGGAACCATTACACTGATTCCCTTTTCTAAAACCAATTTTTCCTCTCCAGGGTTTTCCGGTTCAATGGTATACTCTTTGTTACAGACCCGGTCGATAAATGCTGCGATCGGCCATAACCTTAAGGTCTCTGCAAAGAAAAATAACCTTATTTATAACTACAAACGAGGTGTGTTCAGAAAATAACGGGAATTGTTAAATTTCGCGGGTTCGGAGGGGTCCGGTTGTCATAAAATTTTCTTTATTATGTTGGTATACATGCCCCCGAAGTATGATAAAAACTTTAGCTGTTTTTATTGTTTACTTTGTCTGTGGCAGCCGCTAAGGTTAGACGTGTTTTTTGAGCTCGGCGATTTTTCGTTCGTTGAAACAAATGGATCAAAGAATTTGTATCCAATTTTGCTTAAAAAATTAAATAAATTCTGTGAAATGTTAACAAAGGCATATAGTGAGTCTGCTATAAGTAAAACAAGAGTTTACAAGTGGTATAAGAGTTTCCAAGATGGCCGTGAAGACGTTGAAGATGACGAACGCCCCGAACGCACAAGCACATTAACAACCGATAAAAACATTGAAAAAGTGGAAGAAATGGTTATAAACCATCAGAGAAGTCGCTAATGATGTTGGTATATCGATTGGTTCATCCCATGAAATTTTTTCGAATGTTTTGGGTATGAAACACGTGGCAGCAAAATTTGTTCTAAAATTGTTAAATTTTGAACAACATTTTTGGCCAAAAACAATACTGTAATGATGCCCCAGCCTCCATATTCGCCAGACATGCCTCTGTCTGACTTTTTCCTATTCCCAAAAATAAAGAGAACCTTAAAGGGCCGTTGTTTTGCAAGCATAGATGACATTAAAAGCGCATCGCTGAAAGAACTAAAGGCTATCCCAAAGATCGAGTTTTAGAAGTGTTTCGAGTATTGGAAGAAGAGCTGGCACATGTGCATAATATCCAATGGGGACTATTTTAAAGGCGACAACATTAATGTAGACGAATAAATAAATATTTGTTTCAAAAAACGAAAATTCCCGATATTTTCTGAACACACCTCGTATGCCGTTGTTTTAAAGATTTTACTTTTTTTCTTATGAATATATAAAAAGTATAGTTTGTTTGTTTAAACTTTATTTACGTTTTCTTAAAAATAAGAATATTTGAATTTTTAATATAAGTTTTATAAAAACAAGTATAGTAATTGGACATTTTATATAGTAATTGGACACATGGACCATAGTTATGGGACATACAATTTTTATATAAACATAACAACTTTACATCAAATAACATAAAGTGTTAAATATTTTTTAAAGATAAATTGCTGTTTTAGGTAATTTTTTTTTATTTCGTTTTTGTAAATTCATATATTTCTTTCTCGGATTCCTCATCCTTTTACTGGATTCTGAAGGTAACTACTAATTCCTTGGTCTGACTTCTGAAATAGTTTGTTGCAAATATCATTAAGTGTGGTATCTCTAGTTTGTAAAGCATTTATAATGTTAAGGCCGGAACAGGATGATTTATATATATCTAATATTTTTTCGGGTGGTATCACTGGTACCACTGGTATGTTAAAAGTATTTTCCGAATTTATTAATTTTGTTGCCATTAGTTTTTTATGTTCTCTATCATGCACTGTATTTAAATCACTGTTATTCTGCAAGATGTCCTGTGACGAAGAAATAACTATATTACCTACTCTCTAAAAATGAATTAGTCAAAAATGTCACAGCGAAAAAGCAGCCACTAATAATTCTCGTCAACAGCAATTTGTATCCAGGATATTTAGCAGTCAATTCCTATGAAATATTATTCGCTGAATCCGAAAATGTCAAAAGTTATAAAAGTAGAACAGTTTTTGAAATATAATCAATTTTACATATAGTATGGAATTGACTATATCTCAAAAACTTCTTAACTTTTATAGTTTTTGACGGTCTTTTCGGATTCAGGGGACAATTTTACATAAGAATTGGCTGGTAAATGCCCAGGATATAAATAGAGTATGATATTGGACAATGTCCAATATGTCCAATGGACATATGTCCAAATTTACATTTTTTACCAACCAGTAATTGGACACTGGCCATTTTACTATGTTTTCAGAATTAAAATTAAAACGCATTAAAGTGACAATGTTTAAATCATGAGGAACACATTTATACCACACGCTTTTTAGAAATATTTTTATTGTAATTTAAACACAGCCCTGCTCTTAACAAAAATATAAAAATCTTACCACCAAAGTAACGTGCGAACTTTTTTGTCCTATATTGGACCCAAAATAAAGTAGTTCTATATTATTACCGACTGAGATAGTTATAATTGTATACAGCGTCATCTAAGGTTTTGACTTTAAGGTAACTATTTACAGATCTCTTGTTTTTACAGTATTAGTGTTAATTGTCCAATAACTATAAAGTGTCCGATAACTGTATACTTTACCCTATTGAACCAAAACACATTAAAAAAAATTTGTATTTTTACCTGAAACTACCATGTCCAAATATTTTAATCCAAGCAGTTCTTCATAAGTAACTTTTCCCTCATTTTTTTCACGCAAAGCCATCATTTCCTTCCTTAGCTTATCCTGAACTTCGGGATTCATAAGAAGTTCATACAACATGAATACCATAAGAATTTTGACAGTGTCGTATCTAAAACAAAGAAATAATATTTATTTAAGCCGTCAGGCTGAGAAGTGTCTTTTTGTTCTGACCAAAGTTTGAATTGACCGATTTGATTGATTTTTTACAGACTACACTGTTCAAAATTTCATTACCATTTTAACACCAAATTAACACCATACATGGTCTATATCGATACAAACCAAAATGGTGTTAAATATGGTTCGTTGGTCCAGTGTAAATTCAAATACTAAAATTGTGTAAATTTAACCTTCACACAGTATTAAAATAAATGTAACCTGGTGTAAATTGAACTCCTTTTCAGTGTTAAATATAATGTGTTTTTGGTCAAATTAAATCATACTACACAGAAAAAAAGGAAACAGGAAATTCCTTGACGCATTACAAGTATATTACCAGTGGTATTATTCCAGAAAATTGAACCTTCAACTCGCTAGAGATAATGTTTTTAGTGCGTTCCACCAACTTAAAATACTTCAAGTATTGACAGCTGTTTCCACCTATTTAAGGTCTCTTTAGTATCAAACAACTTGTAGTGTCACACCAAAGCAAAGGACTACTTGAGCTTATATACTCTTCATGTAAGTCAACAGAGGCGAGATTTAAGAACATCACGTGATCCACACCGCCTTTGCCGCGATCGGTACACACTATGCAACAAGGAATGCACGGCAAATTGTTTTAAACGTTTTAACAGAGTGCTTTAGGTTGAAGTAACTCATATTTTACAAACAACATATTTGGTAAACTGAACCATACAGCGGGTTGGTTTCACTAAGGTTTTGTGGGTTAATTTAACCAATTTAAAAAAAATAACTATCTGGTTTAGTACCGTCAAACTAATCTTTGTTTATATTAACCTTCCCACAGTTTATTTAAATAAATACCTATGGGTCAACTAAATTAATATAGTTAAATGAACTATTCCTTTTTTTCTGTGTAGGTGCACTTCTCAAATATTTTTAGATAAACACCGTTTTGGTGTTTGCTGAATAAAACATTTTCAACCATATGTCTTGGTGTTATATTAACACCACTTGGTCTTGGATTTTGACACCATTTTAAGATTACTCTTCACACCACAGATATTTTAAACATTGCAGGAGGTAAAAAACATGGTCTTGCAAGATTTTATGTGTAACAAACCTAATTAATAACAAAAAATTTACTTTTAAAAATTAGTTTGCACTTACCCTCCAAAAAAGAATACCAACGTCTGTGCAGTAATATCATCATCGTCCAAATCAATTTTTCTTAATGTTTTGGTATTTCCGGCGTTGTATTCTTTAGTTTGAGAAAAGGAGGCATTTACTTCAGTTTCCTCTTCAAATTTAAGTTTTCCCTTTCTGGCTTCCATTAATAGATGCACCAAATCGGGCCTTATTATGTTGTGTTTTTCTCTGTATTCCATAGTTTCCATTATTATTTTCCTGAAGTAAGTTCCTGGTCTATCGTCAACTACTTTAATTCCCAGTGCCTAAAACGAATTTTGTATATGGGTAGTTTTCAAAAAACACCCGCCTTCCGCTGTGCGTAAGTTTTAATTCCAATAACTTTGTTAAAAATAATCGGATCTTATTGATTTAACAACCAAGTGAAAGCCTAACAAGCCCTTAGTAAACTCTTTCAGAAAATGTTTGTTTAGTTATTTTAGAATAATTTTTTTTAAATTTGAAACTTGTGAAACACATTTTCGCATGTCCCATTAGCGTTTTATAAAACTTACATACATATTTTTTTTAATATTGAATAACCAGAACTTTGTGTTGCTTTATAACAATCCATAACATCCTTAGTTAATAAAGTAAACAAATTATATATAAATTAATTAATTTTAATCTACTTTTTTTAAACATGTCAATGTCCCAGACATTTTTTCCGTTGCGTTACGTCCGTCGCGTTACCGATAGAATATTAAAAAAAACATATATATGGCAACTTTTTTGGCACTCACGTGATCAACAAATGATATTCGGACGTACACATTACCCAGCTGAATTTATTTATTCAATCAGGAAGAAGATATCGGTTGAAACAGGTGCGGGTAACGCGAATGTAATAATTGTTAGTCCGCTAAGTTACTCAAAAAAATAATAAAAATAAGGTAAGAAATAATACTATTTTTCATGATTATGTTTATTTTAGGGCACCAAAGCTCCTTGAGAGTATTTAATGACTGTAATGTCTTATTATTATTTTTTAAATATGGTTTCACAAAACTTTGTCCACTGCGTTACCGAGTCCACTATGTTACCTTATGGTAACGCAATGGAATTTAGGGTAACGCAATAGAATTTTTTGACAACAAAGTGGATATTTACCGTCGCTTTTATTGAAAGTAGTTTATGATAAACCAATTTAAAATTATTTGTGATTACAACTCACGATATAGATTACATACAAGGGAAAATTCCACGCAATATACTAGTAGTACCTACTAAAAGGGACCTTCAACAGCTTATAGTCAAAGAAAAAGGGTGTCTACAATTTAGAAATCAAAGTTGTTATTCTGCAAGTGAGCACCACTACAAGGGATTTTGTTTTTGCAATACTCTAAAATCGTACCACCCTTTATAGTTTCTTTTTTACGTTATCTGATTAAGTCCGTTGTGATACCAATGTCTATTTCGTTACTTTTTTTTGTTAAAAAAAATACTTAAAATGATTTTTATACACTATCACTTGGTAATAGGAGTTTATAAATTAGAGTTTAACTCACTAATACAATGACTAAAAGAAAATATTAATGGTATTGTTTTTTTTAACAAAGAATCGAAATGGTTTCTTTTAAAACGTAACTTAACATACATATTTTAAAAAAGCATAAAATTTTTAATAAAAAATAAAATAAAAAATTGGAGTCAAAAGTTTGTGAACTAAGTACATTTTATTTCAAATTATTTTTATAACAACTTTTTTTATTGAATTAAATTTTGGATTTCATATTGGTAACACAGTGGAGATATATAAAGCTAGCTAAACAAGTTTTTCTGAAAAAAACGTAAATAAAATTAAAAAGTGCACTGCCTGTCTTAAATGTAAGTAAGTAATTTATAAAAATCCAACCAAAAGTCAATTTAAGCAAAAAAAAATTTTGATCTTCATTTTCCTGAAAGCGGGTGTTTCTTGAAAATGACCCAAATACAAAATCTCTCGAATGTTTTTTCTTTTAACCAAGTGAAAACTGTTTTTGTTTATATAAAAATTATTTATATTTACGCAATTCATTCAAGATACATCACAATTATCCCAATAGCATGTCAATTTTCTAACAAAATCTGGTAGCTTCTAATACATGGGAGGGGATGCAAAACGCGCACACCGTTTGTGGCACACGTGTTTAGTACGTTTTGTATATCATTGCAACTTGCAATTCGCCATTTTCTAGGGGCAGTGATATATTATTATAATTCTATTATAGGTATTTCTAATATACATTTTGCCGGTTGTGTTATGTTGTGGCGTGTTGGATGTATACATTCACGATAGAGTTGGAATCATTAAAACTCTAAATGAAATTTAGGTATCAATTAAAATATGTAATAAAAATGTTATGTTAAATCATATTTATGTTAGTTTATTGGTGTTGGTATAAAAAAACTTGCGCTTTTATCAAACAATAAATGTTTTTTGTAAACCTTTTTTCAGTTATTCTTCTAGTTTTCAACGAGGCCAATATTTAGGCTTAAACTCCCTCACTACGAAGGTCCTTGATTTAAATTGTTAAATGTTTTAATAATTAAAATCAAAAGATCTATGTGGTGAGGGGAATTTAAGCTTAAATACTAAGAACGCCTTTCAATTAGGATATGCAGTTTTCTTGTTAAAACGTGCTCTTCTTTTAAAAGAGAAATATCTTCCGAAGATATATTTTTGGTTCTTGTACTAAGAAATCGCTTGCTCTTGCCCAAGTAGTATTATAATGACGAAAACTGATATCACCACTTCAAATGAGTGGCAATAACGTTTATATAACTAAATCTACCACGATACAGTTAAATATCTCCATATTATATTAGCATAGTGGTAATCATGTGATTTGCACCAGCAGAATATACTTTAGGTATAGTTTTATAACTTTTTGGTGTATTAGTCTGGTAAAAAGACGGGGATAGAAAGTAAAGATTAGTAAATCACAACGTGGTATTAACGTGTCTGTATACAATTCAAGAACGTTGTTGGAACATAACTGACACTAAATAAGTGTTCCCCATTTTAGTCACTTCCACGTAATAGGACCATTTCTACCACGTGGCAGAGATTTTGGCAATATACCTACAGTTCCAAGTATAAGTAGCCAACACGTTTTAACCACTATAAATGCTACTTGGGTGATTTAAGCTAATATGGTAATATCCTTAAACGAATGGATTAATCTCTTCAGTAATTAAAAAAAATATATTTAAAGATAGTGCTTTTGTGGACATTATATTTCCTGCATAGACTAACCTTGAGTATAACAGGATGTACACCCGCCAAAAAGATCTTAAACTTCTTAAGTCCTGAAAAATCAGTCAAAATTCTTCCTTGAGTTAGAAACTCCTCATCCTCCAGAGAATTACATTCAAGTCCGAAAGCGGTAGTGGCAATAACATCCATGGTGAATTTTGAAAAAAAATCGGCAGCCTCAAATTCTGGTACTTCTTCGTCATGGTTTTTGATGTGTTGAACATATTTTATGGAAACATCATCCATCAGTTTGAACATCCTACGCATTTTGCTGCTGGTAAAAACTGGGCTTAGAGTTTGGCGAAGACTCCTCCATCTTTCTCCTACAATTATTAGCGTGTTTTAGAATACACTGTTCAAAATTTCATGACCATTTTAACACCAAATTAACACCATACATGGTCTATATCGATACAAACCAAAATGGTGTTAAATATGATTCGTTGGTCCGGTGTAAATTCAAATACTAAAATAGTGTAAATTTAACTTTCACACAGTATTAAAATAAATTTTACCTGGTGTAAACTGAACTTCTTTTCAGTTTTAAATATTATGTGTTTGTGGTCAAATTAAATCATACTACACAGAAAAAAGAAAAAAAAGGAAAAAAAGGAAACAGCAAGTTCCTTGACGCATTACTAGTATATTACCAGTGGTATTATTCCAGAAAATTGAACCTTCAACTCGCTAGAGATAATGTTTTTAGTGCGTTCCACCAACTTCAAATACTTCAAGTATTGACAGCTGTTTCCACCTATTTAAGGTCTCTTTAGTATCGAACAACTTGTAGTGTCACACCAAAGCAAAGGACTACCTGAGCTTATATACTCTTCATGTAAGTCAACAGAGGCGAGATTTAAGAACATCACGTGATCCACACCGCCTTTGCCGCGATCGGTACACACTATGCAACCAGGAATGCACGGCAAATTGTTTTAATCGTTTTAACAGAGTGCTTTAGGTTAAAATAACTCTTATTTTACAAACAGCATATTTAGTAAACTGAACCATACAGCGGGTTGGTTTCACTAAAGTTTTCTGGGTTAATTTAACCAATTAAAAAAAAAATAACTTTCTGGTTTAGTACCGTCAAACTAATCTTTGTTTATATTATCCTTCCCACATTTGATTTAAATAAATACTTATGGGTCAACTAAATTAATATAGTTAAATAAACTAAATAGTAAATAGGAATATTCCTTTTTTTCTGTGCACCTATAGATATATATTTATATATAAATATTTTTAGACCGTTTTGGTGTTTGCTGTATATAACATTTTCAACCATAATTCATGCTGTTTATATTAACAACACTTGTTGTTGGATTTGGACAACATTTTAGGATTACTCTTTACACCACAGATATTTTAAACAGTGTAACATTCTAATATACTATATTACATACACTACAAAAGTTGGACAACTTGATGTCATCAGTCAATAGAGTAGGTATTTTAATATTTTTTTGTAAATATTTTAGCATATTACAAAAGATCCAGGTTGTTTTAACTTGTCCATCCAATTTTAATGTATTTTTTTAAAAGCACGTTTGTAGAAAAATATAATAAATATTCAAAACATCAGTATACCTTGGCGTGTCACAACTCCTGAATCAATATTTTAAAATATATTCAATTTATTTTAAATTTTTCAATTTCACTACAAACTATAAAACATTAAATAATGTATTTTTCATATTTTATCATAGATTCGAATAATAGCAATTTTAAAAAAATTGATAGGTAATCTTTGAACTCACTTTTACCCGTCAGTTCTGTGCCCAATGTTAAAATTCAAAATTCCTGCGAAATATTGAAGTTTGAACGTCAAGTCCTCATTTTAACTCAAGTGTTGTTAAAAAATTACCTACAGAGCCCGCCCTTTGCAAGACAGTAATCTTAAAAACAATGCAAGCGGCGAAGTTGTGGTGAATGCACGTCTAGTTCCAGTCAAAATTTCAGTACTGTGGTGAGTAGATATTTTCTTACGTATATATATTTCATTGTAATTTATATAAAGCTATATGTGATTTGTTGATAAGTAGCATCCACTAATAAATATCAGTAAATACTTAATTCCGAATTATAATCTCAAATTTGTATCCCATTCATCAGTACCGTGTCGTCAGTTCCATGTTCGATGTTTCGGTTATCTTTTTTTCGCAAACTTCAATTTAAATTCTGCTTGCGCAGAACTTGTTTATTTAATGTCATTATAAACTCATATAAATTTGGTGTGGGTCCCATATCTAATAATTTAGATATCGGTATACCCAAAATCCACCAGCCGCCACTGATGTGTGCACACCATGGTATTATTTGATTTTAAGATATTTAATGTATAATATGCTCAAAGTTGCAAGAAATCTTATATTTTTCAATAAATTATGTATTTAATTATACTCGTCAGTTCCCTTGCATTCAAATTTAGAAAACACAAATATTTCAGAAACTGTTTGAAAAAGTGACTGGCCCGGTCTGGAACAGTATATTTATAACAAAATACTGTTTAATTTTTACCGAAAACTATATAAATAAACTTTTGTAGAATAACCCATATGTATTTTTTTATTTACCCTCTGATGCAAATAAATTTTTACCCCATAGGGGATCTACATCCTCCTTAAAAACATTATGATGATCCAAAAAACTATCAAAATCTTTAATTGTAATTTTTTTGATTAGTTCAAGATCTCTAACCATCAGGACTGGCTGGGTAAATTGGTAAACACCCACATATCTAAAATATGACAAATAGTTATTAAAATTTTGGAGATTTCTTTGATGGAAACGATACATTTAAAAATAAGTGATAATACCTTTCTTTTGGAAATTTTTTGTACATCTCCTGAATGATATCCAAAAAACTCTGAGTTTGGAACACCAATTTGGTGTAACTTCCAAGGAAAGGCACCGGGGTTAAATATTTCACATTTTTATTTTTCCAATAATTTAATATCCTTATGTAGTCAATAACAAAATAAATAATCAGTATTAAAAATATCGTTAGTAAAATCATGTTAAGATTTTCTGCACTATAGGGCGACTGGATGTTTATTAGAAGGTTAATTTCAACTGATCAAAGTTTAAGTGGGATGGAGGCCACGTGAGATAACGATTGTTTATTGCCAAGGTTGTTTACATGTACAGGGGTCGCGCTTAAAGTTGACCCCTCATTTTTTCCTTATTCTCAGAATATTTTGTCGATCAAAAACTTATTTAAATAATTTTGTATTAATTTTTTTTTCGTGTTCAGGGTACCAAAAACTTATCATTTTAACTGAATTATAAACACCAATACAAGAGAACAATTCTTACTTTCTCTTGAAGAATAGAATATTGCGCAAATTTTTTGACTCATTTATTCAAAAGATTTGGTCGAAAAGTCAAGAAGCAAATCTAACGAAAACCTCATTTTCGAGATAATTCCAATTAATAAAAGAATGGAATTTGGAATTATTAATTTCAATATTTGAAGATAAGTTTAATTTTTCCTATTTAAAAATAACGGGCAAAGGGAATAAACAAGGAAAAATACCGATAAAAATGCAAACAATTATTAGGCACTATTTGCATGTGTACACAATAAAAAAATACTTTAATGTTCTACCAGGTGCACAGTAAAAAAAAATCAACTCTAAGCAACACTAATTAGAGTTCACACAGGTCCACACTAAATAGTGTTGTTTTATAACACTACAATGAGAGTTAATTTGTAGTGTAATTTTCCCCAAGTAAGCAAGTATAATTTAACACTATAGCACTGAGGATAAAGTAATTTTACACTGTATTAAAAAGTGTTAATTTACCTAAAATCGTGTACTTCTACACTTCCTGGGTAAAATCCCACTTTTGTTCAGTGTAAATTAACACTACTTTGGAAAAGTTCTAATTTTAGAAAGGTACTTTTACTCTTTTAGTGCAAACTTCTAGTGTAAATTAACACTATTATTTGAGTAAAGCCTATTGGTGATAGTGAATGAAGCGAAAAGGTAAATAAAGAGAAACATTTATTTGGAACAAAAATCTATGACAATTATCAAAATCGGTGCCTTTTAAAATATAATTTTATATTTGAGTCGCATGGCTGGCTTAAGCAAAATGGTTCTTTAAAACGTAAAAGTTTTAGATCAATGCAATGTTTTACTGGCTGTCAACTTGTAAGCAATGAATTATCTTGAGAATTCATCAGTAATCCATTTTTCTGTTATAAAAAATGGTTGATCCCATTGGTAGAGAGGCGTCAGGCGGCTGTATGTCGGGGATTTACCACACTTGTACAAATTTGTTAATATAACAACCATTACGCTTGAAAATTAAAAGCAAATCAAGTGTGTATGTATTTTAGGGTGTCCCAAAAAAAAAAGAATATTTTTTTTCTTCTCGTCTCTTGTGAAAATATGTTGGTTTGTCATGTTTTAAGAGCCCTGTCAAAAGATCAGCAGCATTAAAAAAATTTTAGGGGTCGCTCAAGATTTTTAAAAATTACCAAAATCGTCAAAAATTGGATTATTTTTAATTTTATTTTTTTTTCTCGTTTCGATATTATTTTTTAATTTAAAAATAATAATGATTCTGAAAATTTCAAATCGATATTTTAATTTCTAAAGGTCGCTCAAGATTTTTTTTAACTTTCAAAGTAGAGTATTTTGAATGTTTTCGAGCGACCTCTGAATATAAATATCAACGAACTTTTAGCGACCTTTAGAAATCAAAATATTGATTTGAAATTTACAGAATTTTTATTATTTTCAACCTAAAAAATAATATCGAGACGAGAAAAAGAATTAAAATAAAACAAAAATTCAATTTTTGACGATTTTGAAATTTTTTAAAAATCTTGAGCGACCCCTACAAAATTTTTAATCGAGCTGATATTTTGAAAGGGCTCTTACAGCATGATAAACTAACATATTTTTACAAGAGACAAGAAAAAAAAATATATTCTTTTTTTTTGGGACACCCTAATGTATTTATAATATTAATTTTACAAGTACCCGACCTACTGCCGTAAATTATTGATATATAATATAGGTGGGGTATGGACATCCTTTTAACATATTGGTATTTATTGAGTATTAAGGCTTAAAGAAAAAGGAAGAATAATACTTACCAAAAAATAAGAATGTCCCCTTATGGATTCACCGTAATTATTAATTATCTAACTGAACAAAAATGCCACACTTCCACAACGCGGTATTCCGGATATGTAGGTAGATAGGTACCAACCAAACATTTTAAAACGCATTTCGGTTATTACCAGTTTTTCAGTCTATTTTGCCACTATTGGTGTAATTTAACTTTAGTTGTGATACTAGTAGTGTAAAGAAAAAAGTTCTTAGTAACATTAAAACAATCAAAGAAATTGACAACTGTGGTGTACAGGGTGGTCCACGTAAGGTGATCCATATACTTATCTCAGAAATTACTGGAGACACAAAAAATTTGTAAGGGAGAAATATTCACGTAGTAAAAAATATTTTTAAAATATTTTATTTTCATTTATACAGGGTGTTCAGTTTTCCGTGAGACGATACCAACTTTCTTATTTTTAATGGAACACCCTGTATTTTTTTGCATTTTTAGATTCTACACACTATTTTAGGTATACTCTGTAAATATATTAATTAGGTAAATGTTAATACTTTTTGAGTAAAATTAAAACTTATCAAAATTTGTCTAAATGTAGACATTCGCTAAAAGTTAAAAATAACCAACTAAAACTTATTATTTTTTATATTAAGTAGTATTCATCTCTTTAATAATAACCAAGCTATAAGTTAAATCTTTTTTTTTTATAAAATATTATACAGGGTGTTTTCTATGCTCCGTTGAAAATAGCGATTTTAAAGGTTTAAAATCTTGTTTTTTTTCAATGGAACACCATATATATTTTTACATAATTGGATAAAATATGTAATTTCCTTTCTTTATATATATATATATATGTCCTATATCTAAACCCAACAGAGAAAAAACATTCGCATTTTTATGCGTATGGTAATTATTATAATATTTATATATAAGAGCATTTTTATTTGTTGTTATTTATTTAATATTGGAAATATAACTAAGGTAATTGGAAAATCGACAAAATTAATTTTCTACCTTATTGTTATTAATAAATTACCTTACTCTTTGGGAATACCCTCAGTATTAAAATAGGCACGAGTGTATTCTTTTTGATGTGTATACTTCTAAAATATTATATGATTAAAATGGAAGCACATTTAATCTGGAAAATAAATAAAACAAATTTCAAAAGTATAGACAATATATTTTAAATTAAATGTTCAACCTTCCTTTAAAATGCAGGTATATAATATCTCCAATCTTCTTGTTACTAGCTAACAATCGTAATTTTCGAATTAAACTAAAAGCATGTTTTATTTGTTTTATAGTATTTCTTTATTACCTAAATTAAAGATTATTTTTTTCCGAATACACTCGTGCCTAGTTTAATCCTGAGGGTATTCCCAAAGAGAAAGTAAGGTAATTTATTAATAACAATAAGGCAGAAAATTAATTTTATGGATTTTCCAATAAGCTTAGTTATATTTGTATTATTAAAATAGATAAATTAAAATAACAACAAATAAAAATGCTCTTATATATAAATATATATTATTATAATAATAATTACCATACGCACAAATCTACTAATTGCGAAAAATGCGAATATTTTTTTTTCTGTTGGGTTTAGGTATAGGATATATATATATATATATAAAAAAAGAAAGGAAATTATATATTTTATCCAATTATGTAAAAATATATAGGGTGTTCCATTGAAAAAAAACAAGATTTTAAACTTTTAAAATCGCTATTTTCAACGGAGCATAGAAAACACCCTGTATAATATTTTATAAAAAAAAAGATTTAACTTATAGCTTGAATATTATTAAAGAGATGAATACTACATAATATAAAAAATAATAAGTTTTAGTTAGTTATTTTTAACTTTTAGCGAATGTCTACATTTAGACAAATTTTGATAAATTTTAATTTTACTCAAAAAGTATTAACATTTTCCTAATTAATATATTTATAAAGTATACCTAAAATAGTGTGTAAAATCTAAAAATGCAAAAAAATACAGGGTGTTCCATTGAAAATAAGAAAGTTGGTATCGTCCCACGGAAAACCGAACACCCTGTATTAATAAAAATATAATATTTTAAAAATATTTTTTTCTACGTGAATATTTCTTCCTTGCAAATTTTTTGTGACTCCAGTAGTTTCTGAGATAAGTATATGGGTCACCTTACGTGGACCACCCTGTACATTTTGTCACTATTTAACAGATTAAGGGGTAATAAACACTCGCATTAAGTTTTTTTACCCTTTTGATTTATTTTAATAATAAATAGTGTGAATCAGAGGCGGATTAAATGTCGAGAGCGCCCTAGGCAAGCACCTCATCCGCGCCCCTCTAGCGGCCATTTATTTTCTATTACTTCTACTAATAATAATAATAATAATTAGCTGCGCCCCGCGGTTTTATCCGCGTGATGCCACATCCCGTGGAAATTTCGGGATAAATGTGGAAATCTCGGTCTCCAGCTATCTACATACCAGGTTTCATCACAAACGGTTCAGTAGTTTTTTGCACGAAGAACACACACACCCGTGTGGCGATGTAGGAATAATCAAGAAGGCGGAACACACTTCGGAAGTTTTACATCCTTATAGAATTAACTAATCTTTATGTGTTTATTTTAATTTTATGTTAATTATTTTCTTTGCTTAAAAACTTACGTGCACGCGCCCCTTTGTAACCTCGCGCCCCTAGGCACGTGCCTAGTTTGCCTTATGGATAATCCGCCTCTGGTGTGAATGTACCAATGAATAATGTTCATATTCTTTAAGTAGTTATGTTTAATAAAGTTAATAAGCACTAAATGCTACATAGTGTATTTTGTAGTGTAACTTTTACACTTACAAATCAACTCTAATATTTTTACCCCTACACTAAAAAATTTACACGGGCAAAATTTTTTACTGTTTATTACGTACCTATTCTGAATATTAATGAAAATTCAACATACCCCTTTTTATTTAAAAAAATACCCTGCATATAG